TCCCCAATGTTCTTCAGTGTGGAACCATTCATTTGAACCTGGTTAACCCACCAAGAGTCCCATGCTTGAAAGAAATTGTCTCTGCTCCTCCTAGCAGTGAATCATTAACAAAATTTCCTTAAATAAGGTTGGACTGTTTTACCCACTTCCTCATTACTATGCTAGCATTTTTTCCCATCACCAGTAAATTTAAAAAATACCATAAAATAGTGTTCAAGAAAAACTCTCTGTGATTATTATGTGATAATAAAGTTAAATATGATAGTCATAGCCAAGGTGGAAAAACATGTATTCACATTTGAAGTGATAAATGAAAGAAACAATTTATATAAACTCAAATTCCTTTTGACTTTTTCTTTTAATCAATTCATATTTCAAGGTTTTGAACTTTCACATTGTGAAGACCCTGGTATTCCACAGTTTGGATACAAGATCAGTGACCAAGGCCACTTTGCTGGCAGCACAATCATTTATGGCTGCAATCCGGGCTATACTCTCCATGGAAGCAGCCTTCTCAAGTGCATGACTGGAGAGAGAAGGGCTTGGGACTATCCTCTGCCTTCCTGTATTGGTAAGATGCTCTTTTAGATTTTCATTAGCTATGTCTGTGAAATGTTAATACATCAATACATAAAATGCCCAATGTTTCAAGTGATTCTTTGCACATACAACTCAAAAATAAAGAAGTTAATGAATTAATGAGTTTAAATTTATCCAAAGAAAATCCATGTGAAATATAAGGCTTCTTTTCATAATCTGACCAATGTATACTTTTATAAGGTATATGAAGTCATTATATTTCTGCTTTTTATATAAAATTTAACTCACTGAAATATTTGTTTTTATTATATATATTTTATGCAATCTCATTTATTAGCTTTATATTAATTTACAAAATCATTGCATGCTACAGAATCAAAGTAAACACAAGAATCTAGTCTCAACAAAAACAAAATGAAACAAAAACATCCTTTTGTGTATTAATCTTTTTGGAAAAAAATATAAGAAATTTTGCTGCTTTTTTATATATGATAGCATGGAAGTTAATTGCACTATGAAAAGTTATATGAAAATCTTGGATAAGATATAATGTCTCCATGAAGCTAAAGAATCATCACTTTATTTATTTTTTGGGTTGGTTGGATTTTTTTATTCCAGTTATTGAAGATCAGATAATAAGTGAACATAGGGGGAGAGAGAACAAATACCCAAGTATCTCTACAGACATTTTGCTGTTGTTGTCCTTCACGCTCAAAAGATGATCTAGGAGCCAGACTTGGTGGTGCATGTATTTAATTCCAGCACTAGGGAGGGAGAGGCAGGTGGCACTCTGTGACATTGAGGCCAGCCTGGTCTATACAGAGATTCCTGGCTAGCTGGGGCTACAAAGAAACCCTGTCTCAAAAAGACCATAAGAAGAAATAAAAATCAAATATTTTCTGTTTGAAATACCAGGACAACAAAAGAAAATGACATTGTAATAAAACCCTAAATCCCTAGTAGGGGATATAAACAGGATTGTCAAGCTGTTCATGACTGCATTTATGAAGAATCAAAGGCATTGCTTCAGATCAATGTTGATAAAATTGAGGTGCACCTTTTAAAAACAGATTTATTGGGGCTGGAGAGTTTGGCTCAGTGGTTAAGAGCACTGACTGCTCTTTCAGAGGATGGGGGTTCGTTTCCCAGCACCGACATTGCAGCTACGACCGTCCTTAACTCCACTTCCAGGGGAATCTGAAACCTTCTTTTTGACAGCCCCAGCATTACACTCACATACATGCAGGCAATGCACTCAGTCACATAAAATAAAAATAATAAATAAAATATTTTTAAAAACCAGATTTATTGAGATTTAATTCATACAATTCCATACATGTTTAATAACCATGGAGACATGAACTTTATTTAGCAAGTGGAAAATTTCTGTCATTTTAATTTTTTACCAGCTGCATAATATATTGCAACTAATTTCAGGGTGTTTTGATGTACATAGACCTCTGCTGATTTATTGAAACATTGGCTCACACAGTGACAAACATGCTTTTATTTATACCATCTGTAATCACAGTCCTTTAATTTCAGAAAGCATGTTAATTTTGGATAGATTATGAAGCTAATACCTAACACAATAATCAATGTTAATCACCAAAATTTAAGGATCTGGACTATGGCCAATGATCAAACCACTGTCATGGATTATGAAAAATGTACCAGGGAATAATTATCACTGATATTGTCTTCTTTGATATTAATATGAAATATAGTCCTAAAACATTTAGGGCTTTAAAAATCATAAAACAGTCTTGTATTGTGGTGCACACCTTTAATCACAGCATTTGGGGGGCCGAGGCAGAGGATCTCTGTGAGATCAAGATCAGTCATTGGTGCTACAAGGAAATACTGTCTCAAAAAAAGTCAGGAAACAATAAAATTATAAATATTGATTTGATATGCTACCCTTAAAATTAAACATATATTTTTGGATTTTTAGGGTATGTTCAGCAGAGATGAAATATTTTCTTAATTTTATTTATTATTTTTATTTTATGTGTATGAGTATATTGCCTGCATATATGTAAGTGCACCCATGTCACGCAGTGCCCGTGGAGGTGAGAAGAGGGCATTGGATCCCCTGGAACTGAAGTAACAGACAGTTGTTAGCTGACAGTTGTGCTGGGAACCAAACCTGTGTGATCTTCAAGAGCAGCCAGTGCTCTTATTCACTCTCCAGCCCTCAAAACATTTTCTAAAATGATCTTAAATGGAAAGTTATTTGATCTGAGATAAGAAATTTTGAATTGTGCTTGTAAAAAACCAATGCATTTTATGTCCAAGTAATATCATGACATGATAATTACAAGGTTATGTCAAATTTGTTAATGATGGGAGCTAGAGAGATGGCTCTGCAATTAAGGATACTTGCAGTTTTTCCAGAGGTTAACAACCATTGATAGCTCCGGTTTTAGGGGATCAGACACACTCTTCTGGCCTCTGTGGGACCTTGTATGCACATGGTGGACTTACATACATTCAGACAAAACATGCATACATATGAAATAAAATTAGCAAATATATTACTAAAAATCTTTAATCATGGATCATCAAGTTCAACAGCTATAAAATTTCCATGGTCTTAGAATACGAAATGCTGTTTACACTGGTCTCTCTGCTGACAACTAATACCTTTACTATCGGATGAAAGCTATGGTTTTCTTCTGCTGATTAACTTAGTAAAATGTGTAATGACTGGGGCTGGAGTGATGGCTCAGCGGTTAAGAGCACTGATTGCTCTTGCAGAGGACCCGGGTTCAATTCCCAGCAACCACATGACGGCTACAAACCATCCTTAACTCCAGTTCCAGGGGAATCCAACACACTCTTCTGACCTCTGCAGCACTGCACGACACGGGTGTACTCACATACATGCAGGCAATACACTCATACACATAAAATAAAAATAATAAATTAAAATATTAAAAGTAAAATAAAATAAAATGTATAATGGCTATGCATTTTTTTTGGCTTTGCCAAATACAAAACTTTTGCTTAATTACTTGGGTATTTTCTAGGCATTGATTTTTCTTAAAATTCCATATGAATCAAACGAACCTATTTGTGTGTGTGTGTATGTGTGTGTGTGTGTGTGTGTGTGTCTTTTTGAGACAGGATCTCCCTGAAGCTATAGGTAGCCTGGAACTTACTATGGAGACCAGACTGGACTTGATCTCACAGAGTTTTGCCTGCCTCTGCCTCCCAAGTGCTGGGGTTGAAGAGAGCAAACAAATCTAATTCGTGAAGAATCGTATCTGGAGAGTTATTAATGTGTATTCCTTCTTTAAATGTTTTTACTTTTTCTTTATCCTGGAAACACACATATTTAGACTGTGAAACCAAGTGCTGAGTCATAGCATAACAGCTTAGTTTAGGTGAAAGCACAAAGTCATATTTACAGCAAAGAAATAGGTAGAAAAAATCTGTACTAAGTTCAAGACACAATATTGCATACAAAACAAAAACTGCATAAAAGATAATCTAGAAAAATAAAATATCAATACTGTTTTCAAAATAATAAATACATGCTTAAAATAGTGATAAATCCTAAGGAGAGGATGGAAAATAAATATCCACGAACGGTATGGTTGTAGATTTCCCAATAAAGTTTTATCTAAACAAAATGATAGGGACAAATATACTAAACAAAAATTAATACTATTTTACCTAAATAGCACCTATTTTAAAGTTGCAGTGCAAAACAATATTCCCTAGGCTTCTGTGGGTATATCAGTCAAGGTTCTCCAAAGACACAGAGCCAAAAGAACCTCCCCACAGCAACTGAAGACATTTCTTTATTTTTAGGAATTTGTTCATGAAATTCTATGCATTAACTTGTCCAAAAACCATAGAGTTGATCAACAAGTAACAAATTGAAACAGGAATTGGTGCTTCAGTTTTGAAAGCAAAATCTTCTTTTCTTAAAAAGTAGTTTTTCTCGGGACTGGAGAGATGACGCAACGGTTAAGAACACTGGCTGTTCTTGCAGAAGACCCCAGTTTGAATCCCAGCACCCACATGGCAGCTAACAACTGTCTGTAAATCCAGTTCCAGGGTATCTGACAACCTCTCTCTCCTCTGTGGGCATTGCACGAGACAGGTGCACTTACCTACATGCAGGCAATACATGCATACACATAAAATAAAAATAATAAATAAAAATATTTTTTAAAAATAGATTTTTTCTTGAGACCATCCAACTGATGTGATTATGTGCACTTTATTCAGGGTAAACCTCTTTACTAAATTAAACTGATTATACATAAAAAATATATTATATGCATACATAGCTACCTTAGCGCCGACTGAACTAAATAACTAGGCACTACAGCTTAGCCAAGTTGACACTTTTACAAAACTAAACATCATTGTATTTCAACATCATGTCTAGATCTTTGAAATAACTCTGTATATATGGAGATTATAAACTTACAGTAGTGTTACTAGATCTCTTCAGAATAATAAATATCTCTGGCCTTTTTATAATAACACTAATAATAGTGTTAAACAGAAACAAAACTGAAATCTGTGTAAGAGATACAATTCAAAGAACAGAAAACTAAATATAAGCATTTCATCAAATATTTAATTTAAAAGGAAAATGTATTGGTTTACCCTTAAGAATAACCTGTAGAAATTTTAAATATACAATTTATTGTGATAGTTTCCATGTTTCTGGAGTTTGCTCTGTATATCAATATAGTTCCTACTATACTTACTCTTTTATCTAATATAGAATGTTCTTCCTAAGTTGTTTATTTCACTAATGTAAAGTCCCTTTGATATCACAGTAGTAACAAATAGTATAAAATGGAGAGTAAAACTCTCAAAAAATAAAATTTTAATTATGTAGCAATACTCACATTTAAAATTTTTTTTTATTATTTTTATTTTATGTGATTAAGTGTATTGCCTGCATGTATATGAGTGCACCCGTTCCTGCAATGCCACAGAGGTCAGAAGAGGGCTTCAGATTCCTGGAACTGGATTTTTTTTTATTATTTTTATTTTATGTGATTAAGTGTATTGCCTGCATGTATATGAGTGCACCCGTTCCTGCAATGCCACAGAGGTCAGAAGAGGGCTTCAGATTCCCCTGGAACTGGAGATAAGGACAGTTCATGTGGGTGCTGGGAATCGAACCCTAGTCCTCTGCAAGAGCAGTCAGTGCTCTTAACTGCTGAGCCATCTCTCCAGCCCCGACAATGCTTACATTTTTAATTTAATGAATTGTATGAAAATTAGACCCACTTTTAATCAAAACCAAGTAAGAAATCCAATAAAAATGCCACTTTGACTTTTGAGATCTTAAAAGAGAAAATAATTTAGAGACAGTTAAAGAGGAATAAAAGGACAATTAAATTTAGAATGCCTGAGGGACCACAACAAGGCGAGTTTTTCTCAAAGGCGGGGTACAAAATGAATTATTCACCCTATGATTCGCTAGCACGGAGCAACTTACCATCTGCTTCCCTTTTAAAATTATCATTATTTAACAACACGTCTTGAAATGTTTTGAAGTCAAGCTGTGGGTTTTGAGTGTGTCCCTTTTTTGTTCCAAAAATTGGTTTGTTTTATAGTTTTTTCAGTGATCTGACTCAAGTCTGTGCTACTTTATTGTACTATATATTTCCTGTTTCAAGAAAAACATTCATCTAAGAAAGTCTATTCAGATCTTTACTTTCTCTAAGATGAAGCATGCATGTTTTATTTAGCTTAATGTGAAAATACTCATGAGAAATTTGTAGATTTCTTTGAAAAGATTGTTATTAAATTATGACTTGAAATTTCATTATATTTCATTAGCTGAATGTGGAGGTCGTTTCAAAGGCGAGTCATCAGGAAGAATCTTATCCCCTGGTTATCCCTTTCCATATGATAATAATCTACGCTGCATGTGGATGATTGAGGTAGATCCAGGAAACATTGTCAGGTAAGTAGATTTCACTTTCTTCAAATTATTATGAAATCAGATTTTCCTGATCAGCCATTATATACATTATCAGTTAACATCAAGAATTTTCAACATGCTTACCCTTTGTAAGGGTCAACATGGCCTTCCATGTGCTGATTCATAGGCTGCTAGAGTAATTCATACAACCCCTGTGCAAAGTTTTCATGATTATATTGGGGCACAACAATTCAGAGTATTTTTTATGTTTCTTGTGATCTTTGTTCTTTCAAATCATTATGGTTTAAGATACAGGATCCATCATTTTGATCAATATACAAAATTGTGCAAGTCATTAAATGAGACCTCACTAAGATAAGGAAGAAATAGAAATGGAACAGGACTAAGCATCCCGTGTCTTCCCTAGTCTTGGACATATTACCAAAATACCTGCTTTCTGATCCTTTCCCTGTGTTTGATTTCCCTTTCCCACTGAGTTTTGGTAGGAAACTCATATATCTTCATGTTGTGGTCACCTATGTAAGTCTAAAACCACTGCCTTCTAAGTCCACATGTCAAGTTTACAGGCTATCAAAGCTCTCAGTCCCAGTTTTGCTTTTGGGCTTTGGCTGGGTTTGGGTTACTGAACCACTCCTCCTTGGCATATGAACTAGTTACTCCATTGTAAGTCAAAATAACTTTGGAACCTAAAAACTGTGACTTGATGTAAATCGAATTCTCAACAAGCTCCACAATTGTCGACTCCAGGGAACTGCTGGAGGAGGCATGAACTACTATATTGCTTTTGCAAGGCAATGTGAAAAACTCAAACTAGACTATGGTGGATCTTTCCTCAACTTTTTATTTTTAGTCTAGATCATGCATTAATTTGTCTAAGTATTAAAGCTAGTAAACTTTAAAATACTAAATTCAGCAATGCTAAAGCATATTTTTGTTAATTTCTTCCCAATATATTTTATTGAATTTTTGTGCATTTTATACACCTTAATTATATGTAGAACCCTTCTCCTATTTGATAACCCACCCACCATATTTTGTGCATCCTGTCATATATATTAAGGCCTATCTAGTCAAGTTTGTGTCCCTAGATATCCCTCGGTATGAGTTCATTCACCTGAACCTGGTCAGCCTATCTAGAGTCTCTCCCTTAAAGACCAACTCTCCCTCACAGAGCAGTGATCAGCTACCAACAGATCCTCAGCTATGGATGGGGCTTCTTGCCCATTTCCCCAGTTCTATGCTGGGTTTTTATCTGGCTTGAGTTTTCATGGGTCTTGTTTATGTTGCATTTTTAACTAAAGAACAATAGTTGATAGTCAACTTACATATCAATCATGAGCCATTCATATAGAATCAAACATGTTCATGCAATTGAAGTGCTAAGTTTTTCACTTGGCACAAAAAGTAACAGATGATAATTCTGTCTGTGTTAGACATAAAGTAGAACAGCTTCAATATGAAGCAGTGGTAAAAATACGCATTGTGGACTCAGACAATTGAATTCAGTACATGACTCAGTCACCCTTCAGGCAATTGTTTAATCCACTCACCACATTTGTAAAATTGAGATAAAAATGGTTCTTGCTCCATTAGTTCATTATAATGATTAAATAAAGAAAATGTTTGTAATGCATTTTGCAGAGTAGCTGGAGCATAGGTCTCCCATAAATATCAACTTTTGTTATAACAGCTAAATTTCACAAACACTGAAAAGAATGAGCACTTTAAAAAATTATGTAACTTGCAAAGATGATATAATATTATTTTTGCCATATTTTAAAGAAGTAAATTATGCTGCTGAAGTGCATATGTAACTGTACTACATTCTTTAAGATTTATATGTTATTTGCACAACTCATTTTTTAATCTCAGAAAAAGTAGAGGAGAGAAAGAAAAGTCACAATTCATATTTGTTCTGTTCCTTTGCGAAAATTTTTCTATTCTTTATTTGAAATAATCAGTGATATATGATTTCCCCACAGCCTGCAGTTTCTTGCTTTTGATACAGAAGCATCGCATGACATACTCCGAGTTTGGGATGGTCCACCGGAAAACGAGATGCTCTTAAAGGAAATTAGTGGATCTCTTATTCCCGAAGGAATTCATAGTACTCTCAATGTAGTAACTATCCAGTTTGACACAGATTTTTATATCAGCAAATCTGGATTTGCAATTCAGTTTTCAAGTGAGTCTTTCTTTCAATTTTTTAAATGCAAAAAAGAATGCAATGTAATGAATCCTGTTAAATTTAGTCTTCAATACTTTAATTTTTAAATATTCATGATCTTAAATATTGTTTATGATTTTCCTGTTTCACATCAGGTAAGGTAAATATACTTGGGAAAAAGAAATGCAGTTAATTTTGTGTTTTAATTGTTGGGTCTTTCCCATTGTCACAACAATTATCCTTAAATAAAAATGGCCTTAAAATAACTCAGCTAATGAAATAACTATATCACAAAGGCTTGTGCATGTTGAGCACCCCTCATTTAAATGCTTGGGGAAAGAAGTGTTTCACATTTTTGATGTTTATGAGTTTGGAGATATTTGCACTTAATTAGCTAAAATATCTTGATAATGAGATAAAAGAAAATTCATTTATGTTTCATATGCTCTGTAGAAATACAGTTTGGACATAATTTTTAGAATAGTCTTATGCACCTGCATTTTCACTGAAACTAATTACATGAGGTCAGGTGTAGATTTTTTCACATTTGAAGCATTTATTCAAATTAGATATACTCAAGCTGAAATACCATAAAATGCAATATTTTAAAGTGTGATAGTTTTGTACCTAGAGAAGAAATAAATAGTTGTCATTGTAAAAGAGAAACATGAGCTAGGGAGATAGCTCTGTGGATAAGTGTGCTTATTCTGGAAGTGTGAGAGCCTGAATGTGAATCCCCCGTCTCCACATAAAAAGCCTGTGTGGCATGACTGCATTTGTCTGTAACCTCAGTATTGGGGAATGCAGACAGAAGCATCCTGTGAACTCGATGGCCAGCCATCTTGGCTGGAATGTTGAACTTGCAATTTAGTGAGAGACTCTGTTTAAGCCAATAAGGTGGAGAACAGCACAGCAAGATAGCCAAAGTCCTGTTCTGGCGTTCAAATGCATGCACTTGCTCATGTGTATCAGCACACTCATATGAATACAACAAACACACACACACACACACACACACACACACACACACCACAAAACATTCATTTATTCCCTATTCCCAAACACACATAAAGCAACCTCATAATTGGGTCCCCAATTATCCTTCAGTGTGGGGTCTGTCTACCCACTGGAACCTGTTAAACCTTCCAAGATTCCTGTCCTTGAAAGAAAGTTTATTTTCCCCCTAAGTTTCCAAAAGTTCCTTAAGTTTGGTTTGGGTTCCTACTCACTTCCCATTACTATGTTGTGATTTTTATCTGGTTTGAGCTTGCATGGGACTTGTGCACGCTGTCACCATTGCTGTGAGTTTATATGATTAACTGACAGGCCGTCTGAAAAACTCCATTTCCTTATAGTAAGACATCACCTCTGGCTTTCACAACCTTCATGCTCTCTCTTCTGGAATTATCCTTGAGCCTTGGGATGCAGAAGTTTGATATAGGTGTCCCATTTAGGGATAAGCATTCTGCAGCCTCTGGTTCTGTGCACATTCGCCAGTTGTGGGTTTCTGTGTTAATCTACCTCTGTTGTCATTATCAAGTGAGAGTTGAGAGATGCATTAATCTGTGACTATAGCCATAAGTCATTAGGAGTCAGGTTAATATGATAACTACTTAGTAGGAAACTAGTATTAGGCCCTCCCATGTGTCCTAGGATTATCTAGTCTAAGCTTCCTAAGCCTGATAGCAATGTCAGATGTGGGGAGGGTTAAGTAACACTACACCCCACAGTTTTTACCAGTTATAGTTTTTGTTAAAGATATTAAATGCATATTCATATATATCATTGAAAAAATAAAATTCTTTAATCATAAGATATCATTCATTGAAAATAATTAGCATTGTTGTAGGTTAGTTTCCTTTTTGTTTCTATTGCAATGATAAATGGTTAAATATATCCTGTATTATAAAAGAAATTTTAGTGTTGTGATTGGAAAAAATGATTGAAAACTTGAAAATGTAAATCCAGTTTTTAATTATCCTTGCTAACACATTATCTCTTTGAGAATGTTATCTAATGTATCCTTTACTTCCATATTCTTTAAAAATTCCACTAACTCAACTCATGCCTATTAACATTCCATCTGTGTGAAGAAGGAATACTAGTTATGGAGCTAGCACAACAGAGCATGTGTCCTGTGTAAGTGACTATTGAAATGATTTGTATCATAGAGCCCAAGCTTATGTGAGAGAGATATCCAAAAGTGAATATGTATGAATTATTGCTTTAATCATATCTTTTGAAAAAGACAATGATAAAAATTGAAGAAATAAGAAATGATGCTATAATTGGTGAACATAAATGACTTCTTTCTATAAATCAATTACCAGTTAAAGGTTTTTACTATTTAGAGTACTGATTTTTTTCCTATATATATTTTTTTTATGAAGTAGAAATAAGATGCCAGAGACTGTTAAGCCTCCATTCTTGCTAATGGTAGTTGACAGTTAACGAGTTTCTCTAAATTAGTAACACAGAGTGCTTTCTGTTAAAACAGTCACTGTGATTGGAATCTGTGTACTCTAATGTGAAAAAGTATGTAGGGATGTGAGTATCCATGATTTCAAAGTGTGTACCAGTTTTTTACCTTCATTTATTGGGAATTTTTATCGAAGTTTTGTTAGTAAAATTGATATTCCATATATATTGTGTTTGTAGGGCATATTAAAGCTTTAGAAACATTGTATACTTTATTATGACTTTAATAAATCTCCTTCATAGTAGACTTTTATGATGAACAGAAATTGCTACTACTGTTTGAGTACAAAATCTCCTTATTAAAGTAAGTTTATGTTGAGCATAGTACACTGTGATTCACATCAAACAATGCCAATCAGTCTCATGGACAGCTTTTGTAATGCACATGTTTACAGATCTTCCAAAATGGGAAAGTTTATAGTGGAAATGTTTTTCTGACATCCTGATTAGTACTGAGAACCCCCATTTATTGCTTTTAAAAGCATGAGCTTATTTAATCCTCACACCTGTATGAAATATGCTCTACCCTTCCTTTTTATAAGTAAGTACAGAGGTTCAGAAAGTCAGCTGATTTCTTCAAATTCATATAACTAGATGGAAATGTGACCTATACCCCCGTGTTTGAAGGGAGATGAGTAGCATATTTGGTAAGTAGCAAACAGTTAGCAGTTTATTATTAAATCATGATTGAAAATACATATATAGATAGATGTGTTGGAGGAAAAAGAAAACATTTATCTATACATTATTCTTGCTGTATAGTTGTTTTTTTTTTTTAATCTTAGTCTAATTGTTTTCCTGATTTTGAGTCAGGTACTCCATCAAAGGTCGCCCTGCTCTCAAAAAGAGTAAAGGTAGAAAACAGGCTTTCCTTTGGCCATTTTACCCAAGAGAGAGACCAGATAATTTTCTTATGGTATTAGAAATGAGGAACTGTATAATTTTTACAATAAGCACACAGTTTAAAGGATGTTAATGAACTACCGGCTAGTTATCTACTACTATAGGACAAACGTGACCTGCAGGTCAGAGGCTGCTACTTCAGTGCCACCAAAATTCCTCTTTCCTGGAAATCTATTCATTCACTCATTCACTCATTCACTCATTCACTCCTTCACTCAGCCTAGGACAGTCTACTAAAGACCACATGTAAAGCACATTAATCTAATTTCTCACATGCATCTTCATGTTCATTCAGGGAAATATTCATACATACACATTGTGCATGTGTGCTCATGCACACATACAAATGTGCACAAAACACACATATGCACACACAAGCACACATGCACGCATGCACGCACTCACTGCTGCTGCTTTCTGCCACCAAAACTTCCTTCTCCTTGCATGATGTTTTGGATTCTTGTGCTTAAATTCCATTCATCCTTCCAAACTCAGTGTTAAGAATCCTTCTTTAGTAACACATTTTTCTGGCCCATGAGTCTTGCCCTAGTTGTGGTATATCATCAAATGAAGATGAGAATAAATACTTTAGCACTTCATTTTCCTTGAGAAGTTTTAATTGTATGGTCTTCATTGCTCCAAATATATATGAACTATTTTATTAGCAAATATCTACATAGAGCCAAGATTTTGTTTGGGTAATAATATAGTTTATTTACCAAAGCTAAGATATTTTAAGATGGATACTCTTAAAAATTATGTTTAATAAACACAAACCAAGACAGCCTAGAAAATAGCGATGCATTGTCATTTTTTGTGAAGTTTTGATCAGTGCTCCTTTATGCTGCCTCTAATCCATTCCTATCCACTTTTGAGTAAATAGCAGTTGTTTATTGAAAGAGAGAAATCAGTAACAAAAGGATGAGACACAGAAAATGAAAGTCTTCACCAACAATTGCAAACAGTGAAATGCATTTCACGAATATAGCTGAAATGTAGGTCGCATAGCAACTTTGTAATCATCAAACTGCTTTCAGCAGCCTTACAACGTCTATTTCATGATCTGTCCATGCTTTGTATTTCTGCCACCTTGCTTCTTGGTTTTAGCATCTCCAAAGCACTTGTGCTTAATCAGACCTACTTAAGTCTGACACCAGCACCTCATGCTGTCCTGGTGCTGTCCTTGCTTCCCGGCAGTCAGCCTCTATATTCCTCGCTTAAATTTGTAATCTGCCTGTCTCATTCCACTTCAGTTCCACAGGGAAGATATCAGGGGGTATCATGCTGTCATTTGCCCACAGAATACTTGATTTTGACAGAGCATTTTGTGCACTCTTCACTCTTTGACCTCTCCATTAAGAATCAGTTCCTGCTGGGTAATACAAAATAGTAAGGCTCATAACTTCTACTGTTAAAATTCTCAAAGAAATAGATGCCTTAGTGAGGAGAGGTTGAAGCCTGCCAGCCTTAAAGGACTGCAGGATACCACTGCCTTTGTTCGTATCCTCATTATTGTTAGTGCCCCAGTAAGTCAACTAGCCACTCACTTCATTATCCTTCCAAAACTTTCTCTGTTTTACTGCCTTGACTGGCTGTCTGAACCACAAAATACACGTCATGCTACTGTTTAAAATTAC